AACATCCATGACCTACTTATCGAAGCTTTACTTCGAAGACGAGTTTTGCTCTCACGTTTAGCGTAAATAGCACTGGGAATCGTCAGGGCTATTAAGTAAACTGAAGCGACACAGGAAAAGGGTTTGCCGAAAAAAACAGGAACATTTTTTTAGCTGAGATAAGTTTTCTGAGACGAACCACTGGGCGAATACGCCTGGAAAAAGTCCGCAGTTCATATATCTGGAAAAACTTTGGTACACAGCCGCGGCATCTCCAGATTGAGAAGTCGCAGCTACGATGGTTTGGGTACGTTTTGCGAATTGTTCCAGAAAGGAGGGCGAATCAGCTCTTACTTGTTCAGCCGACCGAGCGAACATCCAGAGGCCAAGTAGGAAGAAGCAGAGATGTGTACCTCTACAGAAGACTCTGCTACAGGCTCAAATTCTCTTCACTGAATTTCAGACTCTGACACAGGACCAGGAACGTCAGAAATACCGTATGACGCTGCTACCTCCGCGAGTCCCAAGAATTAGGTCGGTCATCGAAACTGACCGAGGACATCTTTTTCCTCTTCAAGACCAGAAATATTTTCATGGTCATGGTAGAAGGCAGGTGAATGTTTCTCACGTTTTTTTAGGCATTAGCATTGAGCATTGGTCACAGTTCTTGTATTAGGGATTTTTAAACAAATTGTCGTGGGAACCTATCACCCTCAGGTTAGTTTTCTGGATTGTTTCTTTTTTTCTATTATTTTTCTTGTTTAAGAAAAGAACTTACGTTTAGTAGCAACGACAAGAAGAAATATAATGACAGAAAGGCACAAGATATTGAGCAACACCAGAACCGCTATCCATCGCCTTTTGATGCATTGCCATTTTGACTGGTTGCGATTCTCTGATGCCGCGTCCGCAAAATGCGCGTTGTTGTCCAAACTAAAATGCGAACTTCATAGCAACATCGTACAGTTTATCGTTGAAGCATGTCTGTCAGTAGAAAGAGTCTCATTTTGCTCATTACTCTCATCACAATGCGCCAAATGCTATTGTAATCGTTAGGGTAAACACCAGTGAAAGAATATATTATGCTTTGGAATATTTTTATGGTCATGTACACTGCCAAATTTATAATATTTAAATTTACAGGTTTTGGCCAATCACGAGTACTTGCGTGGCTCTTCGTACTTTTTCGAAAGATTCAAAATTGACGTGAAATCAATGGAAATGAACGAGATACTGGCATATGCTTTAATAAGTACCTCCACATAACATACTTCGAGTAGCATAATTATTGACATTGTTGTTTCAGATGCGCTTTACAGCATCTATCTCTATGAAAATCTATCTTAAAATATTCGGCTTAAGATTCCAGGGCAGAAGCACGAGCAAATTTTTTTATGGCGGCGCATGATGCATCAACACAAATAAAACTTTATTCCTGTGTCACGGAATATATCTATGTTAGAAGGGAAATTGAAATTGCAGGAGCAAAGAATTGTCCTCATTCCTCTCTTCTGATAGACCTCACATTCTAGAGATGCATCAATATCGTGTGTCTGTCTGTCACAAGGCCGGTTCGCTTTCTGGATCGTTTTTATGGATTAAAACATTTTCCATTAATGGCAACGAGAGTTTTCATGCAACGGAAC